AGCACAAGCCCTGGAATTTCTTGCCTCTTGGGGAACTTTCTAACAATATTACTTGGTTTTTTTGGGGAGGGGTATGTAAAATTATTATAAGGGATGTGGGTGGTGCTGTGGGTTAAACAACAGAGCCTAGGGCTTGCCGATCAGAAGGTTGGTGGTTCGAATCCCCACGAGGGGGTGAGCTTCCATTGTTCGGTCACTGCTCCTGCCAACCTAGCAGTTCAAAAGCACAAAGTGCAAGTAGATAAATAGGTACCGCTCCGGCAAGAAGGTAAACAGCGTTTCCATGCACTGCTCTGGTACACCAGAAGCGGCTTAGTCATGCTGGCCACATGACCCGGAAGCTGTACGCCGGCTCCCTTGGCCAATAAAGCAAGATAAGCGCCACAACCCCAGAGTCATCTGCGACTGGACCTAATGGCAGGGGTCCCTTACTTTACCTTTTATGTTACATTATTATTAAAACCATCAAATAATTACAACATGAGAGAAAAGCTCATGATGTTCTTTTCGTCAAGAGCTCTAAGGCCAACCCCTCCCCACCTCTTACATTGAAAATTGGCGGTTAAATGAAGCATATATGTTCTTATAGACTTAATGAGTCAAACTGATAATTCTCCAGCAAATACCTCACAATTTGTACATTATTTATAGCAAGAAAATGCAGCCAACACTAGTCCTAGTAAGAGAAGACCCAGTGAAAACAATGGGCATGAGTAACTTAAGTTCATTAACATGCCTCTACTCTGAGTAAACTTTATTTGGCTACAATCCACCAAAGAATAATAATACCTTTAAAGGTTTTAACCTTTAAAGCCCTATACGGCCTAGGACCCTCGTACCTACGGGACCGCCTCTCCTGGTATGCCCCACAGAGAAACTTACGGTCTTCAAATAAAAACATCTTGAAGGTCCCAGGCCACAGAGAAGTTAGGCTGGCCTCAACTAGAGCCAGGGCTTTTTCGGCTGTGGCTCCGATCTGGTGGAACATTCTGTCACAAGAGACCAGGGCCCTGCAGGACTTGACATCTTTCCGCAGGGCCTGCAAGACAGAGCTGTTCCACCAGGCCTTTGGCCAGGGCACAGCCTGACTCCCTCCCTCGGCAATCTTCGCGGAGCTCTGGCCCAATGGTTGCCAGTGGCTTGAATTAATTAATTTTATAATGAATGATTTTAGAGTGTTGTTTATGCTGTACTTTTGTACCGTTTTATTGTTGTTAGCCGCCCTGAGCCCGGCTTCGGCTGGGGAGGGCGGGATATAAATAAAATTTATTATTTATTATTATTATTACCTAAAATGTTTAGGGGTCAAAATAACAAGTTTATACAGTATATGAATATTTTATTATTTTTATTATTATTTTTCATTCGTGGTTCTTTTTCTATTTATACTGTGTCTGCAAAACTCTCATATTGAGGGCAGGACTGGTGTTATTTTGGTACAGTACCCAGCCATTTCAAGTATTTTATAAATAAGATACTGTATAATAAAATATCACATTATGTGTCCCATAACAATAGCTTAACAAAATACTTTTGAGGATACTGTGTGTCAATTTATCTTTTGATACAGTTAAACCCTCCAGAGGATCCATGTTTATTGGGAGCAACATTTGTTTTAAGTCATATATTTTGTTACCATTTAACCGCTACCCTAGATGGAAAAGATATGTGATATCCAATAGAAAGAGAATGTACTAGTTAAAGTTATCAAACTTTTGAGAGGCAGAAAGAAAGGAAAGGGTCAAATCAGTTTCACTTCACTCCCGAAATCCAGAAGTTAAGAATATGAAGCAGAACATAAATATAAATCTACCATTTTATGACAATGGTCATGATACCATTCCATGGCAAATATTACAAACATTGCATCCAATTAGCATAGCTTTTGTCAATGATAGCAAAACCATAGGCACAGGGAATTCCACCTAGGAGCATGTTAATGCTGTAAGAGACTGGATTAAGGGACCCTCATTCAGGGAACTCTTAAGCACAATTTGGAAGGAAAGCTAAAGATTTCCCCCGATAGATAAATAGGTATGGGACAGCTACAAGCTCCTGAATTGCTCCATATTCCTGCATTGCAGGAGGTTGTGCTACATGATCTTCAGGGTCCCTTCCAACTCTATGATTCGATGATTTGGGTGGAGGGCATGAAGTTGGTATATGAAATGAATCAAGTTTGCAGCTCTTATGATGACACGGTTGCTCCTGAAAGCATGTGAGCAATCACTGATGAAATCTGAGAAGCGAGAGATGTGGCTGAATTGGAGCTGGCACGTGTCTTCATCCACCCCATGATGGGCAAAACCAGAATGATTTATGCAAAGTAACCAAAAATTAGGGTAGCTCAGTTGGTAGAGCATGAGACTCTTAGTCTCAGGGTTGTAGGTTTGAGTCCCACATTGGGTGAAAGATTTCTGCATTGCAGGGGGTTGAACTCCATGGCCCTTCCAACTCTACAATTCTATGAAAAAGGGCAGAATTGTGCTTTCTTCTCTCTCTTTTTTGCATAATTTATACAGATGGCAGAATCTGTTTTCTTGGTGCCTAATTTAAAGTGCCTGAGCATAGAACTGTATTCCATTTGAGCTTACACAGCCACACGACCCATCAGAAGACCTGAGTAACAGACTCTCTAAAACATAATATGATGTTCCTAATTCTGACCTCTATAAAGTGGACATTATAACACAACTCTGATACCTTTAACACTAAATGATTAGGGATCCTCAGGACACTGAACCATAGACTCATAGAATTGCAGAGTTGGAAGGGACCTCGGGGGTCTTCTAGTCCGCCTGCTGCAATGCATACTTGGGTGTTTGTGGATTCTTATTACTACGACTGTAATATACTGTAAAGTGCCAGGGGTAAAACATTCTCGAAGAGTTACAGTGCCACAATATGCTTGCAGGAGACTCTACAGCATATCAGAACCCAAAGGACTCTGATGAAATATATTGAGGCCTCTGCAAGCACTCTCTCTTAGAGATACACCTGTTTGAAACTGTAGGTCTTGAAACTCCAACATGATTCCATGACAGCTGTAAGCTTGCATGAGATGACTGCAGTATTTCTGCCTGCCAAGATTACTGCCTATTCTTTCTATACACCAGCCACCTCTAGGGCCCGCTGTGCCAGGCTCAGGCTAGATTCAGATGTAATGCGAAACCATGGCTTGTGCTAACTATAGATAAGAACCCAAAACATGGTTTGATCTTTTGAGACATATAGCAGACAAATCATGTTTAGAGGTGTTTCTTCGCTATCTTTTTCCTTCCTCACTCAGCTCCACGTTCAGTCCCATACCCCAGTGTGATAGCCTCCCAAGGAAAATAAAACTTCATTCCCATAATGCAACTGCCATTTCATAAAGTGGACCAATGGCCCTAACCTTGGTTTGCTACTTTTCTATGAATTCAGTCATAATCACAAACCACAGTTAGCACAAACTCATCTGCAAACAAGCTTCCAAATTGTGGTTTCAGATCCTGGTATGTCAGTTGCAAACAGCATCTTGTAGGCACCTTGGGTTCAGAGATAACACAAACCATGGCTTAGCTAAACAACCATGGCTGTGTACACATTATATCTTTTAAAACACATTTGAAATGCATTCTTTCTCTCAAAAAATTCTGGGCATTGTAGTTTGTCCCTCACAGAGTTACAATTCCCAGCAACATCTAATGAACTACAGTGCCCAGAACTCTTTGAGGAAAGAAATGTGTTTCGAATGTGCTTTAAAGGTATAGCATGTACAGATCTCAAGCCTTCACGGGCCATCCGAACTCAGCCTCAGTTTTGCTTTTCTTAACAAGGAAGAGATAACTTGCACAATATTCCATGCCAATTATAAATCGCACTGGAGGAGACCACATCTTTTTATGCCAGTTTAACAGTGCCAAGAAGGAACGTAATTGGTTTTAAGAAGCAACCAACCGCCTGAACATACGCAGAGCAAGATGTCCCTAAACTGCTTGATTTCAGGGGGCTTAGTCAGGCCTACCTAAATCTAACTAAGCTCAGGCTAACTGCGTGGAAATATCTTAATTCAACTAACTTTACCAGATTAAATGCGCTACTGCCCGATAATCCTTTCTCTACTCCTTTACTGTCCAGAGATGTTGCGAATTTTCGCTGACGGCTCAAACTACAAAGAAAGAAGGATGCATGCTCTTTCTGAAGGACAGTTGAGGATAAGCATGGCTTCCTTTGAATCAGTGGCGTAGCGTGGGTTGTCAGCACCCGGGGCAAGGCAAGTAATTTGCGCCCCCTAACCCGTAGATTTGCGCCCCTAACCCATGGATTTGCCCTAACCCCAGATGTTGCGCCCGGTGCGGCCGGCCCCCCTGCACCCCCACGCTACGCCACTGCTTTGAATCACAGCTTTGTCCTGTACCTCATTTTTAGCCCTGGGTCCAGCTATTGAGCATCGACACCCCCTGGACACGTGTAAAGCCTCTTCTAATCCCACCCACCCACCCATCCCACTTTCGAGTCCCCTGGGAGACAGCTGAAGGGCAGCCAGAAATCCAACAGGTGCAGTGGCTTCCGAGACAGGAAGAAGAGATCCTCCTCTCCACCTGTGGGTTTGCTGCCTCTCAGGCTACCGGCAAAGCCAGGCAGCAGTCAGAATGACGTCTCGGGGTGCGGGAGAGCGCGCCCCATGTGGGGCTGGGGCAGGAGGCTGTTGGATGTGAGAGAGGGCCCAGGAAGCAGGCAGGCAGGCCAGCCGGAGGAGCCCCGGCCCCTCTTCCTCCCGCGCGCGCCCGGCCTCCGCCAGCAGCCGCCCGGGAAGGGCCTTCCCTTCCGCAGAGAAGCGCGCCCTGGGCCGCCGGTGCTAGGACCCGCGGGGAATTCGCGGGCGCCGCCAAGGCGAGCGCCTGCCCCCTCGCTTCTCGTGCCTCCCGCTCGGCCTCCTCCCTTCCGCCGGCAGGGGACGGGCGAGCGCCGAAGGGCAGCGGCCGGGCAGGCAGGCAGGCCGGCCGGCCGGGCGGTACCTGGCGAAGCAGCACTCGCAGTGGTTGCCCCTCTCGTTGACGGTCAGCACGCACGTGTAGGCCGGGCACGAGAAGAGCAGCTCCCCGACGGCGAAGCGGCGAAGCGCCCGCAGCCCCCGGCCTTTGCCCGGGCTCTGGAAACGCTCCAGCGCCGGAGACTCGGAACTCCTCGCCGAGCTCATGGCTCCTCTCTGCCAGGCGCTGCCGCTGCCGCTGCCGCCTCCTTCTTGGCACAAGCCCCGTCGTGGCGGCGGCCTGTGCCGTGGCTATTAATGGCGCGCAGCAGCAGCAGCCACCCGCAGCGCCCGGCCCCGGCCAGCCAGAGCTCGCAGCACATACATGGGCATGGGCAGCCGGAGCAGCAGTGGCGGCCGCGGCCGGCTCCCTGGGAAAAGCGCGACGGGAGCCCGCTGGGTCCTAGAGGCAACGCGGGCCCGGCTGCCCGCGCGGCACCCCGGGTACGCGCCCCGGAGGTGAGGGGTGGCGGGCCCTGGAGCTGGAATCCCTTCTGCTACCCCCACTTCTCACGGTCTTTCATTTGACGTTGAGGGGTTAAGAGCTCTTCTCTCTTTTTTTAAGTTGCCTCATGGCTATCAAAGTTAACCTTTATATCATGGCACATGGCACGTTTTCCAATTCTAATTACACTCCTTACAAAATGACTCAAAATTTAAATAAAGGTAGAAAGGTTCCCATTACAAGTATTTGGTCAACCCTGCTAGTGATGTTAATTGCTTACAATAATCTTTCAAATACAGTGGTACCTCAGGTTACATACGCTTCAGGTTACAGACTCCGCTAACCCAGAAATAGTGCTTCAGGTTAAGAACTTTGCTTCAGGATGAGAACAGAAATCGCGCAGCAGGCGGCCCCAGTAGCTAAAGTGGTGCTTCAGGTTAAGAACAGTTTCAGGTTGAGTATGGACATCCAGAATGAATTAAGCACCCTGCAAACTAGTTATGCATATACAGTGGTACCTCAGGTTAAGTACTTAATTCGTTTGAGAGGTCCATTCTTAACTTGAAACTGTTCTTAACCTGAAGCACCACTTTAGCTAATGGGGTCTCCTGCTGCTGCCACTGGAGCACGATTTCTGTTCTCATCCTGAAGCAAAGTTCTTAACCTGAAGCACTATTTCTGGGTTAGCGGAGTCTGTAATCTGAAGCGTCTGTAACCTGAAGCGTATGTAACCCGAGGTACCACTGTATCGTATAAATTTACTCCAGTCCTTTTGGAATACATGATCATGCTGGTTTCGGATATTTCCTGTCAGCTTCGCTAGTTCTGCAAAGTCCATCATATTCATCTGCCACTCTTCTTTCGTTGGTACTTCCTCTTGTTTCCATTTTTGAGCTGAAAGAATTCTTTTAGCACACAACCATTCTAAAAGCTAAAACCAGTGCTATTTTGCTAGAAAAAGAGGTGCTGGAGGAGCTCACTCTGAACTACTTCTCTTAGACTAGCAATGGCACCCACCTGAGAGTTCTGGAGATGAGCTCCCCAGCTGGGGGGGGGAGAAGCCCTGGCGAAAACTAAAAAGCTCTCCCCACAGCTATGTGGTACAAAATGAAAGGTCTTTAAATTCCAGTCCTAAGCATGTTTTACCCAGAAACAAGGGCACCCCGTGGGGAATGTTGTTTGCATCCATCTGTCTCCAGAGACAATGGAGTGCACCTCCGAAGGTGAAGCCAAACCGCTGCATTGGCAACACTGAAGTGACCGCCCCAGGGCGCAAGCCAGGGTTGTGTGTATGGAGGTCCTGGGCTGCCCAGATGACGAAGACCCGCCCCCCTCGACCTCCTTGATGTGGTCCAAAGATAAGCAGAGCAATACATTTGACACCAACCTGGCTGCAGGAGTTGCTGGAAGGAGGCATACAAGGCATCATCTAACTGACTTAGGGACTCCACTCTGGATTTGTTTGTATGGTTTACTCCTTAGCTTTTTCTTTTCCCAAAGAGATCCCACAAGGCAGAGGAGACTCGAGACAAAAGAGCTTATCAAAGATGTCATTTCTGGCTACTGCCAAGTGTCCGTGGACTACAACTTCCATCACCCCTGACCATTGGGTGCACTGGGAGTTTGATTCCAACAAATATCTGAAGGTTTCCCAAGCCAAAACGCATTCAGCACAATACATTTTACTAGTATTGCATCTGCAATTTCTTATTATATGCTAAGGCCCTGAAACTCCAATGTGGACATGCTTTTTAGAACCTAAGATTTTAATCAAGCTGAAGGCTTTTTGGTTTTTTTTAATGATATAATTCCCAGGAGGTAAATGTGAAACATGAATCACAGAAAAAAATCTTAACATGTTAGAAACCCTTCATGGCTGTAAGCAGAGGGCATTCTACACCTGCAGTCTGTAGCCTGGAGGCATGAGAAGAAAGATTTGCTAAATAAGTACTGCTGAAGTATGACACGCTAAGGGCACAGCTCAAGATCATTGACTCATCTTCCTTTCATTAATGCAGAAGGAAGGTTCGCAAACTTTGTCAGAGTGAGTCTCTGTAAATGAAGACGGAAACTGTTCCAGCTTCTCTCAAGCGTCACAATGGGCCAATTCATGGAAACATCCCACCTGCAGCCACAGGCTTTCCCCCCTCGTTCTTGGCCCTGGTTGTGATGTGTATGTGGCAAACCTGGGTTGCCTGAATCATGGTGCAATGTGCACCATGAACGAAAAAATACAACATGGCCCATCATGTGCAGAGTACTTTGGCAGTTCACTGTTACAGCATGCAGTCCTGCTAAAACTTTAGGTGCAATTTATTTTAAGGGAAAGTGAGGGACCAGGGCCATATTTGGGCCCGTAAAGGTAAAAGGACCCCTGACCATTAGGTCCAGTCACAGATGACTCTGGGGTTGTGGCGCTCATCTCACTTTACTGGCCGAGGGAGCCGGTGTACAGCTTCCGGGTCATGTGGCCAGCATGACTAAACCGCTTCTGATGAACCAGAGCAGTGCACGGAAACGCCGTTTACCTTCCCGGTACCTATTTATCTACCTGAACTTTGACGTGCTTTCAAACTGCTATGTTGGCAGGAGCAGGGACTGAGCAACAGGAGCTCACCCCATTGCAGGCATTTGAACCGCCGACCTGATTGGCAAACCCTAGGCTCTGTGGTTTAGACCACAGCGCCACCCGCATCCCTTTCATGTGGGCCCATACCAGACTTGAAAGCACCTACAGACAGAGAAATTTAACAGTGCAATCCTTTGCCAACTTGAATCCATTATAATTTGTGGCCTTAAGGGACCTTAGGCGCATAGGGCTGGGTGGCAAGACTGCAGTCTTAAGCCATGCTTCAGTAGGACTGGCTCCAGTTGCGCTTGGTGTGGTGAGGCAGAGCCACCTCCCCCAACACTGACTTCAATGCAACTTACCTAGATGGGGTTGGGGTCCGGCAACAGCAAGCTTGGGGTTGGCAGAGCCACTCTTATCACTCCCACTGGTACTGCCCCAAGGCCACTTCCACTGTACCTCACTCCAGCCCTGTTCAGAGGAGCTGCAGTGACACCAGTGTCCAGAGGTTGTCTCTGCTCCACGAACCACTCCTGACTAGTTTCCATTGAATTTAATGGGATTTCTGAGTACAGTACTGGGATACACTTGCCTAGCCTGTGACTGGCAATCACTACAAGGGATGAGGCATTCAACTTCCTAGATTGCACTGATTTCTAGGGGGTAGAGAAATACGTGGAGGTCTCACTCTTGCTCTGCCATCTGGGTCTGTAGGGCTTTCCCCCAAAACAAATTAGATTTGTCAAGCTGCATTAGCAGAACAGTAGAACAACAAAAACACCTTATGCATGAAGGGAGATATTGGGTCATTCTGCTTTTCTGTTAATGTTTACTATTTCCATTAATGCTATTAAACCAACTTAAACACCACTAATGATATTACTCGTGTCAAATTGTCTGGGCCATCAGTTTGATAAACTATCAGTGACTTTAATTGACAGAGACATAAATTTGAAATTGGGACCATGCCGTGGATAAGCAGGGCTAAGCAATGTGACCTTACTAAAAACACGAGATGAACAAAGGGGCTCCAATCTGCTACAATTAGCCGCGTTTATAGCTCATTAGAATTAAATATATTATTTGCTTGTGATATGTGTAACCTGCCTTGCTCACTGCCCACAAGGGTTTCTCGGAACACCAACCTATGAAAACAGTCTCGTAAGAATAGCAAAATCTGCATCTCATCTGCATATAAGCATACAAGCGGAAGCAGGAATTCAAAATAATATTGTCACACTTGTCACCTTTTGCTTCTAATGCCACATCCCTATAGAAGGTGTGCGTGGCAAGGCCACAGCTGTCGCGCTGTTCTGTCAACTATGTAGTCTGCTAAGGGTTCTGGTGGCAGTGAAGCCTCTGGCAGCATTTAGCTGAGACACCCTGTTTGCATGGAAAAATTCTATGAACAAATGTGCAAGCCTAGCTCCCCTTCCGTGCTACCTCCAAATGCACAGGCTGTGACCAGTGGATATGCCAACACCAGTGCGCATGGCTAGTGGGCACAATCCTGATCTCCCCTCGCACATTCACTGCACGCGGCAGGGAGCATGTCGAAAGAAGGCTATGGAAGGTTCCCTCTCCCAAACATTCCAACTGCTGTGGGTGAGAGAACAAAGGTCCAACTTCTGGGAAGAATGCAATAGCTCAGCCCACAAGGACCCAGGACTGGGAGGAGCTAGATCAGTAGAGACTGAGAAGCTGAGTGAGTGGAAATCACAGGAGGCCGGGAAGCAAAGTGGCAAAGAGTCTAAAGGCATGTGCTGGATGGGTGTGAAGCAGGCCTAGCCGAGAGTCAGGGTGACTGAATGAATGGAGTAGGTGGTTCAGTTATTTGACAGTGTCACTGCTCAATTTTTCTTGTTAAATGTGATAAATAGAAAGATGTAACACTGCAGGTGGTGTTGAAACTGAGCAATGCTGTTTTACTGCAAATGAATAAAATATTCTAGATATAGAAAGAGAGTGGGTGGAGCACTGGAAAGCAGGGATCTGAGGAAAGAATAAATACTGGATGCATAAGGGTGAAGAAATAGAGTCTGGGAGGAACTTGAGCTGGTGGCAAGGGGAAATGGAAATCCAGGTAATATTTGAAAGCTTGAAGGCTCTATCTAAGGCAGAAAGCACAGCACAGTTTGAGATCCAGGCACTATGGGACTTAGTCCTAAAACATGCATAAGACTGCAGTCTTGCCATGCAACCCTTTGCACTTAGGCTTCCTTAAGCGCATTTAAGTGCGCCAATGCTTGGGGGGCGGGGAGAGGTGAGGTCAAGCCACCTGGAAACATGGAAGTTGGGATAAGCATTCAGCTCACTCAGCTGTGTCCCATCTTTTGCAGCCACTTTTCTAGATGCATTTC